GGCTGCTATGTTTGCCATAGCAGATGATCTCCATCTTAACACCGACAAGGTGTGTGTCCCTGTTGCCGCTTCTAGATTTCTCAATGGCTTTCAATGCCATCAACCATAGTATCCTAGACCGCCTGGAGGGGCTGGGAATCGAAGACACTGTGCTGCAGTGGTTCCAGTGTTCCAGTCATACCTCTCAGGCAGGTTCCTTATGGTGGTGCTTGGGGATAGCTGCACGTCAAAAAAGGAGCTCTTATGTGGGACCCCACAAAGGGCAATTCTATCCCAATGCTTTTTAACATTTACATGAAACCACTGAGAGAGATCATCCGTAGGCATGGGGCGGGTGCTGTCAATATGCTGAACACAGCTTTAGCTAAGGATAGTATGTCTTCTCTGAATGAATGCCTGGAGGAGATAATGGGCTGGATGAAAAAAACAAACAAACTTTAATTGAAAAACAAGCCAGAGGTGCTTGCCTAACCTAGGGAGGGAGGTGTGTCAACTAGTTCTGGATGGGGTCACACTTCCCCTGAAAGACTGTGTTTGCCGCCTAGGAGTGCTTCTGGATCCATCTCTCCAAATATCAGCCCTGGTAAGTGCAAATGTCAGGAGTGCATATTGACAGCATATTGACAGCTGCACCCCGTTCTAGATTTGGAGGACCTAAAGTTGCACACACTAGTAACCTCAAGGTTGTACTATTGCAATGTGCCTTTCACTGGGCTACTTCTTTCCCAAGTTTTGAAACTCCAGTTGGTTAGTTACAGGAACATCCAGGAGTGAGCATATTATTAAAGCCAAACCACTGGCTGCCAATTAGTTTCTGGGCAAAGCATGAAGTGTTTGTATGAATCTTTAAAGCCCTCCATGGTTTGGTCCAGGTTACCTACAGGATCACCTTCTCCCACCCAATCCACTCCAAACACTGAGGTCCTTTGGAGGGCGTCAGCTTCAGCCAGCCAGAACCCAATTGGCAACCATCACACAAAGGACCTTTTCATTGACTGCCCCAAGACTGTGGAATGACCTACCAGAAGATCTCTAACAGCTAAATCAGCTGTCAGAATTTAAGACGGAATTTAAGACCTATCTCTTCCAGCAAGCCTACCTAGTCGATTTCAACTTGTGGATTTTAACCTGCATTTTATTGGTAAATGTTAAGCTGCATTTAAACTGTATGTATGCTATATATATATTAATGCTGCTCTCTTCTACTTCACTGTTTTAACTGTGTTGTACCTACCCTCAAGTCACAAGGAGAGGTGGACAATAAATATCATCATCATCGTCACCATCACCATCCCAGCCATTAGATTTCATTCAGAAACAAAATTCATTTTTCTCTTCTTCTTCTTTTACTTCCAGGGGTTTCTTTCAACAGTGTTTACACACAGATTTGGAGAGTCCTTTTGCACCTGGCTGCTGACCCATACCCAGATGTTTCAGACTTAGCTATGAAAGTGCTCAACAGTATTGCTTACAAGGTAAATCTACATGTGCCATTTACAGTAGTTTTCCAGTTTGTGCAAACTGTGAGTAAATGAATTTTAAACATCCCTTTTCAAAGCTGTTGGAAATTATTTCACCGTGTAGGCTAAATCTGTGGAATGCCTGGGAATAAGAAATTCCTGTATAAACGTGTTTAGTTAGTAAATTATTCGGAGTTTTTTTAGTCTATGTTAATATAAGGGTTTCCAAACAAAAAGAGATTTTGGGTTTTCTTACCCCAGAGACATTGCAGCCTAAATCAGGCATAATTTTCACATTGGGAAACAGGAAAATCACAGTTATTTAAATTGTTATTGTTCAAAGTTTCTTAAATACCTGTTCCCTTCCTTGTTTATTTCCCACAGCAGTCCGCTTCTCTCAAACACAATATGCAGCAGTCCATTCAATTCCCACCACAAACACAAACCTTGTCCATCTCCTGCTTTTGCTGTGTGGTTAAAATGGATTCTTAACTCATACCACCTACAGGGAGAAAAAAACAGGAGTTTAAACGTCCATCCACTGTAAAAGTGGTTCTATCTATTAGCCAGTTACTCAAGTTCAATATATTTGAGAGTAGTACTAATTTGAGGGATTTGAATGGTGTACCATATATACTCATGTAGCAATCCCAAAATTTTGTCCAAAAATCTATCTGAGTAGAGAGGTGAAAAGCAATAACTTAATCTGTCATGGGAGAGTGTAAAAGAAACACCAGCCTCCTCCTTCTTGAATGGTAGTGGTGGCCAGAGGCAGCTGGCAATCTGAGGTGTCATTGATACTTTCAACTCTCTGTGGTATGACTCAACTTATCCATAAGTTATACCAAAATCCATAATTTTGGTCCCAAAACCTTCCCTCAATTTATACATGATGTTGACTTATACATGAGTATATTACAATAACAAATAATCTTATAAATAGAAATTTGCTTGAATTTTTAGTCCACAATTCTAATGCAGTCTGTTATGAATTTTTGGTTATTTTCTTTGCAAACTCATTTAGATTATGCAAGTGAAGGTAAAACTGGATTGCAGATTGAAGCCGCAACGGCTGCCCAGTGCAGGTGATCTAGTACATGTGAGTCAGCATGCAGACACCCCATCCCACCCTTCACTTCTCTATTTTATGGATTGAAAATACCACCTTTATTTTGCAAGAATAGTGTGTTGTTTTAACTCCCAACACTACTGTCACTAGAGTTCTGTAATTATTATTTCACAGAGTAATTGCAGTGTTATCACAAACTAATTGTGATAACAAATCTTGTGTCACACGAACGAAGTGCTATGTAAGCACTTATGTCTATTTGTTTTTATAAATATTTCCTTCCCTGTTTTCATCCAATTGAAGCTAAGGGAAATCACACATTGTGATTCTTGTGTTCTGAGAGGAAGCTCTTTTAGTTGGGCCAGCAAATTATTTTAATGATTCCTAGTCTAGGTTGCTTTATTAGTTTGGTACATGCCTATTCCACGTAGACATCTTTGCCATGCATAAGGGGTATACCACTGCTCAGTCACGTATAAATTTTCTTTATATACTGCTTTTAAAAGTTACTCTGGTTATATGGTAGCTGCTAAGGAAATTATGCTGTGCTCAGATCAGATACTGAGTGTGGCAGAATAGTACTGAGTTAACAATATTAATGGCTAAGACATAAGGCTGCGTAATAAGTGGCTAGAGATACGTCCCTGAATTAGAAAGAGTTTTGTTGCTGATATTATTCAAAGAGAGCTTTGTTTATCAAACAGTAATCACTTTCTTGATTGTTATTGAACTAATTATATCATATATCTTTTCCGGCATGATTAGTGTCCCCTTCCATCTTGAAAGCCAATGCAAATTTATATAGGAGCGGTAGAAATGTACGTATCTGTAATGGCACATACAATATTACCAGTGTTTTACATTTCTAAGTCAGGAAAAAGAAGAATCCCAAATTTCCTTGTTATCTATTTGCCATAAACATATCTGAAAGTGTTCCCTTTGAACTGTCAGCACCAAGTATACAACGTCTTTATTAAATCCTCACTGAGGACTATGGTTTCCATTTCTACTTACTTGTTTCCTATCCATCATTTTATTTATTTATTTATTTATTTATTTATTTATTTATTGTGGGCAGCATTTTTTAGTCAATCCTCTCGTGAACTTTCAATTATACTGCTAAGAAAGATTTGCAGAATGTATGCAGAAGCTCAGATTATCAGGGGAAAGGTCACTAACCACAACTATCAGAGAAACTCAGGGTAGCCTAAATTATAATGGACTAAGAACTAACTGGCAATCTCGTAAGGGAAAATCCATGTAATTGCAAAAGCAAGGAATTGGCAAAAAGCAATGGAACAGAAAAGCTTGTTTGTGGTCAAGGATTTCAGCAGCCTCCAATTATTCACCTGCTACTCTCCCTTGGTGTCTTTCACTGCCTAAGCATATACAACATTGTGTTGGCTAAATACATTCTGGAGTTTCACATTTGGCATAGTTCTCCCAGTGGTATTTGAATCTGGTGGTAACTGATGCTTTCTGTTCACATATTAGCTTCTTGACTGCATCCCTGAATATACCATGCATTTTTCTGGCTTCATAAGGAGATACAGAAAATAGCTACAATTGTTGACAATATATTGTTCTGTATTGTTTTGCAGAATGGTACATAACATATAGTTGTCATGCATTCAAAAGGAATGTTGCTATGATTCCTTGCTGTGAATTCAATGAAAGAGTATTGCAGTTATGTTTAGCATAAATCACATTTGCCTTGTAATGCAGCAAGCATCATCGATCAAACAAGACATCTGATTTACAGGTGTTCTAGCAAATAGGATTTATTTTTTAAAGTACTGATTTAAGTTGTTTACTACAAGTAGATTTATTTATTTATTTATTTATTAATGCGCTTGTATACCGCTAATATCTCAGCCTAAATCGGCGACTCATTGCGGTTTACAACAGTTAAAAAACAATATTCAATTTAAAAGCATAAAACACATATACAATACAAGTTATTGGGCCACCAATAACAATCCCATGCATCTCGTAACTGAAATCGCAATCCAAAATTCGTCGTCCATGATTACCCATCCTTTAGTCATCAAAATTCGTTGCAACGGATTAACCGAATGCTTGTTTAAACATCCATGTCTTCAATCTTTTCCGAAACACCATCAGCGAAGGGGCTGATCGTACCTCTATGAGGAGGGTGTTCCAAAGCCGAGGGGCCACCACAGAAAAGGCCCTGTCTCTCGTTCCCACCAGCCGCACTTGTGAAGCCGGCGGGATAGAGAGCAGGGACTCCCCAGAAGATCTTAGGGTCCTGGTGGGCTGATAGGCTGAGATACGTTCGGATAGATAAGTTGGGCCAGAACCGTTTAGGGCTTTAAAGGCCAACGCCAGCACTTTGAATTGAGCCCGGTAGCAAATCAGCAGCCAGTGGAGCTGGTGCAGCAAGGGAGTTGTATGCTCCCTGCGCCCCGCTCCTGTTAGTATCATGGCTGCCGCCCGTTGGACTAATTGGAGCAGCATGACTGAGTTGTGCCTCTGATTCTACATCTCTGAATAATCTTGATAGTGGTGATTCAATTTTTTCTGAAGGTTCTTCTGATCCTCTTCTTCTGATCCTCACCAGGCATCAGAGTTTTTATGTGAAATTTTCTTCTGTGTGGTTAGATTAACTCCATTCTTGTCAGCTCAGTGGGGAAAGCTGTAGACCTGGTCTTTTCCTAGCACAAGTTGAGAACCCGTAATCTGGAATTCGTAAATCTAAAATACTCCAAAATCCAAATTTGTTCACATGGGTGGCTAAGACAATAACGCCTTTGTTATCTGATGGCGCAGTGTATATACGCATAGTTTCATACAAAACATTATTAAAAATATTTTATCAAATTATCTTCAGGAGATGTGTATAAGGTTTATATGAAACATACATTAATTCATGTTTAGACTTGGGTCCTGTTTCCAATATATCTCATTATGTATGTATGTGCAAATCTAGGTATTCCTATATTTTCTCACACAGGAATGAAAACCAAAACATTTCTGGTCTCAATTTCGGATTAGAGATAGTCACTTGCAGTCTTTCATACCTTCAAAACACGAGTTTTCAAGCCATTGTACTAAAAAGAGAATGTTTGATTCAATGGAAAGGGGAAATTAAAGCCACTAAATCCTAGTCAGCTTCTTAAACACTTATATTAAGTGTTTTATGATATGTTTAGTTTAATCACCCAAATGTGCCTCAATTTGACTACTGAGTACCATTTGTTAATTATAGAACTTTCATTGGGACTGCTGCTTTGATCTGGTAGTATAACATATTTGGCTTCATTTTAACATCCAAAAACATCTTAAGACTGCACCAATAATTGATAGGTTCCTGAAAAAAATGTATAATATGTAACATATATGTGAAATTAGTAACCATGATCTCAGTGGCCAGTCACCAAAATAAAAATTAGAAGTTTTAATCAACACATCAAAGTGACAGCATGCATGTGTCTGCCTGTCATTCTGAAAGCAAATCAATAAAAACGTGTTCATTAATTGAAAATGAGGACCAGGATGCAAGACTTTTTACATGTATCAAATCCTCACAGATCAGCTCAGGTTACCATATCAACTTCCCCCATAGATCTTACTGATGTATAGCTGATACCAACCAACATACCTGCCTGCAAAAAAAATCATGTTTGGTGTCCTGTGTATTTAGGTGGGGAAACTTCCTTATTATGTTTTTAAAGAAGCTGCTAAATTGAACTGTAAAATGCTAGCTACAAAGCATAATGAGATGCATAGATTTCTCCCCTTTCTGCTCCATGCTGGTGAATCAAGAGAGATTTCTTCCACATTAGCAAAACTGCAAGCTATGTAGCAAAGAAACAAATAAGTCCCTAAGTTATTGAAAGAAAAACATTTGACCTCCAAAGCCACACTGTGCCTACTCTTGCATTAGTTCAAACAGTTTGCAATTCTGAACATCACCCCTTATTTCAGAGGCACTGAAAAGTTCTATATGTAAAAGAAAGATTATATTGTTGATTGGTCTTAAAGCGGAATAACTTGGTGTGGGCCAGAGGTGAAACTTCTGTTCATGTGCCAATAGGTGACTTCTAGTTCTTTTAAAGATAAATTTAGATTTTTTTTTCCAGACCAAGCAAACATAAACCTGCAAAGAGACATAAAAACAAGAAAACAAACCATAAAACAAAAGACAGACAAAAAATAGAATTAAAATTTCTAATATAAAAAACACACTACTATTAAACCAATAAACATTGACTACATACAGATCTAAAATAATTGTTCTAAGGGCTTTACATTGTCTGTCTAGGGATTTTATTTCATCAATTTTACACACACATTAAAAGAAAACCCATTAATTCTCTCCTTTCCCATAAGATGATGAAAATATTGATGTTTTTTTCTTCTCTCAATGATGGAGTAAAATTGAGGAAACAAAACCACCAGGTAGAAAATGCCATCTCCAAGGGAGAAGAGGGGTTAGTGTGACATCACAACCTCAGCAGCTGTCCCCACCCCTTGGGATTGTCACTGTGATGCGTTCTCCACTATCATCTGCAGTGCTTCAACCAGTATAGGTTATCTATGAGTATATGTAGCCACTTGAATCCTGATCCCAAAGAACCCAATGGCTAAAGAGGTCTCGAGTGGCAACTACAACATAGGTGAGAAGCTGGGCCTGGAAAGGGGCCTGCTGTGCCAGTTCATCCACTCCCCAGTTTACAACCTTTTCCCCAGATCAGCAGTTTTTGAGAGCAACTTCATCCAGGTAACCAAGAAGGGGAGATGGGTGGACATCAACAACCTGCCCACTGTTGTGACTATGGGGGTGACCTCCACAGACCCCTGCCTCCCACTCCCCAATGTCCTGCTGATGGCCAAGCGGCGGCGACCCCACAGAGGAGAGGACCCCAGGCGACCCACCCTTGAGCTGACCAGGATGCTGCCCCTGCGCTACCTGCGCCTGTCAGTCCAGAGCGCCAGACAGCGCATTCTGCGCCTTCAGATGGTGACTCAAAGTGATTTCTTCCTGCAACTGCACCCCAACCACCCCAGCATTGTCTTTACCCTCTGGACCCGGCTGACCAACATCCTCGAGCATGGCCTCTCCATCACCACCAAGGACCCTGCCATCCGCATTCGGCACAGCCTTGTTCCCAGCAGGCCCTGCAGCAGCAGCTCCTCTGATGAGGGTGTGATGAAGAGCGCCAGCAAAGAAATGTCAGGTGTTGTCTCCCAGATTTCAGGGACAACAGAAAAGACAAAGGAAATACAGAGAAGGATGTCCTTCCCGAAGGAAGAGGAGGAGGAAATGTCTGCTTTATCCAATGACCTGAGAATGCTCTTTTATGACAGGCCTCGTCCACTGGTGTGTGCCAAGTGCAAGGGCCGCCTACCCAAGAGCCACCTGCGGAGGAGTGCCAGTGAAGAGGCCGCTACTGACTCAGAACTTAACATCCTGCCCTGGACAGACAGGCACAGCTATGGCCTCTGGCAGCAGGAGACCCCTGGCTGGCTCCAGCCCCTCTGCCGCCTCAGCAGCCTGGCCGCCGCCTTGGAAAAATAGCATCTATTTGTGCCTCCCTTCCACCATTGGCCAGGGCTTGGCTACCTGATTTCCCAAAGAGGCTGGCTAGAAAATAGAACAGACAGTATTAAATATACCAAGATGGACATTATTCAAGTCATGGCCACAACTCTGTAGAGGGTAGGGTGCATCCATTTCTTAGCCAAAGTAAGCAAAATGTGGTCCCTGGACCTCCCCATTTTAATAAAGGCTGTGTTCTTCATCTATAAGATGATATTCTTCTATTTTTTTTAAAAAAAAACTATAATGAAGGTTTGATGCCATCTTTGCTGAAGAAACACAATAAATAAGTAGCAGTCTTTCTTTAGTAGCAGTGATTTACTATTTTAAGTTTTTAATGTATTGTGTTTTAATTGGTATGACTCCTTGTGTTATATTATGTTTATTTAGTTTAATCCTCAGTTAGTTTTATAAGTTATATTCAGTTCATTTTATTTCATGTTTATGTCTTGATTGTTGTTTGTCTGTTTTAGGCATGGAATGTTTGCCATCTCTGTTATTCTTTGGAAACTGCCCAGAGTCCCTTCAGGGAGAGAGGGCAGGTTATAAATTGTTGTTGTTGTTTCAAGTTCAGGTTCATCCGTTACAAATCAAAATAGATTTTTATCCATTTTAAACCATTCTGTAATTTGTCTATAAGCAAACTATTATTGAGAAATCCTCTAGCAATAACTCCTCCCTTGTCTTTAATCTGCATTGGTCATTATTTAGTAACAGACAGTCTTTATGGTCAACACTCCTGTTATGTTTGTTTTGCTGTCTCTGTTCCTGTTCTGAAGATTGCACCTCACCTTCTGTCCCTGTAATAATTGGATTTTGGGGGGGAAAATGTCTTGTTGTGGGAACAAGGATTGTTGATAATGCTTCAATTGAGGCACCTTTTCCCCGTGACACTCTTTTAGGATTATTCTTCTGAGTGGTAAATTTCTCTCACTTCCTGTTGTCTCACCTCCGTTCCTAACTATGAGTTGTTTGTAAGTCAGATGTTTGTAACTCAGGGACTGCCTGTAATTTGAAATCTTGTCATCCAAGATATTAACGGAAGTGAATTACTTTTTAAATTTAAAAATGCCATTTCCTTTTTTTTTTAGTGTAGTTCAAAGAAATAAACATGAGTGTGGGTGTTAGTGTGGAATATTTACAAGTTATTAAAGAATTTTCCAGATTGCTTCAGTTATTTTCAATTGATGTGTTAGGACTTGACAGTGATCTTACCTCTATGGTGTATCTCCATGACAAGCCATTCCATGCATGAACAATCACTAATCCCCAGTTACTCTTCAGGATACATTATTCACTGTCTGCCTTCCTATAAAGAAAAATGCAGGGAACAAAGCCAACCTCTGTACCTGGCATTCATTGACCTTGCAAAGGCATTTGACACAGTGAATCGCAGCGCTCTCTGGACCATCCTCCAAAAAATCGAGTGCCCTAACAAATTTGTGAACATCCTGCGGCTCCTCCATGATGACATGATAACAACAGTCTTGGACAGCAGTGGCTCCCAAAGTGACCCATTTAAAGTGGAATCTGGTGTCAAACAGGGATGTGTTATTGCCCCAACTCTATTCTCCATCTTCATCGCTATGATACTTCACCTTGTTGATGGGAAGCTTCCCACCGGAGTGGAAATCATCTATCGGACAGATGGCAAGCTGTTTAACCTCAGCAGACTGAAAGCCAAAACCAAGGTTAGAACAACATCTGTTATAGAACTCCAGTATGCTGATGACAATGTTGTCTGTGCGCATACAGAAGAAGATCTACAAGCCACTCTAAACACCTTCGCAGAAGCATACACGAAGCTTGGCCTGTCACTGAACATCGAGAAAACCAAAGTGCTGTTCCAGCAGTCACCAGCCATCCCCTCCAATGCCAGAGATACAGCTTAATGGTGTAACATTAGAAAATGTTGACCATTTCCGCTACCTTGGCAGCCACCTCTCCACCAAAGTCAACATCGACACTGAAATACAACACCGCCTGAGCTCTGCGAGTGCAGCATTTTCCCGAATGAAGCAGAGAGTGTTTGAGGACCGGGACATCCGTAGGGATACCAAGGTGCTTGTCTATAAAGCTATTGTCCTCCCAACCCTGCTATATGCCTGCGAAACGTGGACTGTCTACAGACGTCACATGCAACTCCTGGAACGATTCCATCAGCGCTGCCTCCGGAAAATCCTGCAAATCTCCTGGGAAGACAAGCGGACAAACGTCAGCGTGCTGGAAGAAGCAAAGACCACCAGCATTGAAGCGATGGTCCTCCAACATCAACTCCGGGGCCGGCCACGTTGTCCGGATGCCTGACCACCGTCTCCCAAAGCAGTTGCTCTACTCTGAACTTAAGAACGGAAAACGGAATGTTGGTGGACAGGAAAAGATATTTAAAGATGGCCTCAAAGCCAACCTTAAAAACTCTGGCATAGACACTGAGAACTGGGAAGCCCTGGCCCTTGAGCGCTCCAGCTGGAGGTCAGCTGTGACCAGCAGTGCTGCAGAATTTGAGGAGGCACGAGTGGAGGGTGAAAGAGAGAAACGTGCCAGGAGGAAGGCTCGTCAAGCCAACCCCGACCGGGACCGCCTTCCACCTGGAAACCAATGCCCACACTGCGGAAGAAGATGCAGAGCAAGAATAGGGCTCCACAGCCACATGCAGACCCACAAGGAAACCCATAATGGAAGACCATCTTACCCGTCCAACGAAGGATCGCCTAAGTAAGTAAGTAAGTAAGTTCCTATAAAGGATGGATGTGGTATGACTAGTGTGGGGATAAGCCTTCAATTTATTCTCCAGACTAAGTAATTTAGAGCATATTTCCCAAATAGGTTATTCACTGCTGGGACAAAGTTTGTACTGCATCTGCTGGAAATTAGAGTTTTGTATGGCTTGTGCTACATTTGTGTATTTGCTGCTGTGTTAGAAATAAATCATTTGTTTGGATTATGCCATGAGACAAAAAACAAAACATAAATTGTCAGTAAACTTCAGGATTGAAACTGTAGAATGCTTGGTCAATTGCAGTTCATAGATCAGCTTTCTAGATCATCCTTCCATGTACTCATTTTAACATGAATATACAGCGGACCCTTGGCATCGACTGGTATTTGGTTGCAGAACCAGCTGTGGATAACAAAATCTATAGATGCTCAAATATTATTATATACAGTTGCATAGTAAAAATGATGCTTCTTATGTAAAATAACAAAATCGAGTTTTGCTTTTATGATTTGGGTTTGTGTGTGTGTGAATGCAGAATCCATAGATACAGAAAGCCAATGTGATATGTTTTTTGTGTTGTCAAAGGCTTTCATGGTCTGATTCACTGGGTTGCTTCTGAAGCATGGCCATACAGCCCGGAAAGCTCACAGCACCCCAGCAATATGTTTTTGTAAATTAGCAAATTTCAGAAATGTAAAGGATATAAAATCCTATCTGCTATTGTTTTGACATAAAGAAATCTTGTATTTACTGTTACAACCTGTCATTCGTAGTCTCCCGTTCCCCAATATCAATTTGAACAACCAATAATAATTGGGATAAACAACTCCTGATACTACTTTCCATCTAGAAAATTTTGCAATTGCTATTATTTTTTAGAGAAAGGGAAGTACCAACTTTAGAGGGAGAACAGGAAGAAGACACCTGTGGCAATTTTCTGCTTAATCCTTACACTGAATGCAATGTGTAATTTCCTTTAACCAAAACATAACTACCTGAAAAAACAAGACTTCATTTGGAACAAAACATTTTGACTGATCCTGACATTGTGAATAGAAGCATTAGTTGTCCTTCAAGTGTTTTAGGAGTATCTTTTGAAGTTGTTGAAACCTAGGTCATCATTTCTTTGTTGTTGGCTTAAAATCCATTATGTGTTGATTGGAGACTTCAACTGGAATTTAGCCCAGCATTTCTATACTGATGATGGTGAGCACTAACCCCCAGAGTCGGGCACGACTGGACTTAACGTCAGGGGAAAACCTTTACCTTTACCTTTCCATATTGTCTTGCATTTTCTTGTTCCTATGTCTATTATTAATATCACACCAGCAGAAAACATTTTGCTTCCCCCATCTTTTTAGTATGTATGTGTTATTTCTGACCCCACCCTTTGGGTGGGTGAGAAATTGAAATTTTCAAAATTAATGCAGCCATTTCCTTCCCTTCCAGATACAAAGTAAATAGTGGGAGGAGGAGAACTAAACCATCAATAATATTTTCCAGCTTCTTCCTAACTCAGTTTTGGTGTAGTAACATAACATAAATTTGCATGTCAGTTTTCAACAATCAAAACAAATTTTAAAAATCTGTAAAAAAAAAACAACAACTTCCAAGCTCTCTTTTGGATGTTGACTTCTCAGTATATTGGAGAAGGGAAACAGCTTATATAAAGACATGTGTACATGTCTTTGTATAACCAACCTGCTTTTTATTTTCTCCTATGTATGTTTAAAACTGAATAATCATTATTTAAAGAAAAAGAAGGGAAACAATAGACTTTACCAGTTCCAGTGTGATTTGTTAGTTCTGTGCAACAAATAATGATCAATCAGAAGAATGTTTTCAAGTCCTAAAAGAAAGAAAAAATGGTTTTTATTATACAATGTGTGAATTTAATAGAAAAAAATGAATAAATGTTTTTAAAGTCTTTAAAAAGAAACAGCATCTAGCTGTATTCTGTTAATAAAGAAATAGAATCTGTTACCAAGGAAATCTATGGCCAACTTCTTAGAAGAAAAGGACAACCAGCTTGACTCCAGATGTAGCCTGTCGTGTTTGCAGTATCTCAGATGAGACTGGAATTTCATCATTGCAAAATCACATTTCCCAGCCATAAGGTTCATAAAGACTTTGAACATTTTCTTTTAAAAAACAAAACAAAACACTTCACATTTTTCTTTTCATAACCTTATGGCTTTGAGAGAAGAGAAGAAAACTACCTCCAAAGCGCAGTTCAACAAGGTGAGCGCTGAAGGAGAGATAATGTGTGCTCTACAGCACAGCTGCAGCAGTCTTCAGCGTGCACCAAGCCATGTTGGGTGTAAAGTGCAAATGCAGATACTATTGGAACACGGTCTGTTGTTTATGCTGTTTATTTCTCCGTGTTCCCAAATGCCTTGTCGGTGGCTCTTTACACCTCTTTTTGCTTTTGTATGACTGCCGGATTTTAATGGCCATCAGCTCATCCTGTTTGAGATTTGAGAGGACCCTTAAGAGTAACAGAAGGTTCTGCTGGATTAGAAGCCTGGCGTTTCAGTTCTTCCTGCCTTCTGCCTCCATCCTGCCTCCCTGTGTCCAAAATTTCAAGAAGCTATGGATGTGGTTTATCTATGTGCATCCAGGGAATTCCAAGAGCTGCTGCATTGGTTGTCCTGCATTGTTATTACGGCCATGAAAGTTATTATAGGCTAGCCCAATATCTCAAAATAATTTATCATGAAGGGGCTTCAGTTATGGTGACTAAGAATAATTTTTCAGTCCTGAATACACTGGAAGTTTTGATTTTTCTGTGGTTTCAGGAAGGGTGTGTCGCTGTGAAGGTGCTAGTCACACATGTTGGCTTTGTTTAGTTGAAATAAATGTTTTCACTTCTGACACTATACATGTGAAGGATCTTGAGCTCAAATGTTCAAATTTTCTCCATTTCTTGTCAGATTAGTAATTTAATGGATTTTTCATTTCAGTCCAAAAGGTAACTTCTCAAAGTTGTTGCTTTTCTGGATAGTATCCATCTTAATGAATTGTAGGTGGGAAGGGAATTTCATACTGGATGAACAGGCACTAAAATGGACCACCTCTGGCATGCTTATACAGTAATGTCATCGCAGTCTTGAAGGCTTGTCACACTATCACATTGTGACTCCTTCTGCTTTTTGGCTCTCTCTCTCAGTTCTTAAATTCTTTGTTTCCTAGGCAACTGTAAATGCCCGTCCCCAGCGTATCCTTGACACTTCATCCCTAACACAGTCTGCCCCAGCCAGTCCAACAAATAAAGGCATGCACATACACCAAGTGGGGTAAGTTGTTTATGTGTCCTGTTGTGCTCTCATGGCTTTGAGCCTAAGGGTCTATCCACATGGATTT